TAGATTGAAGTGAAACCCTAAAAGAGATTTAGGTTCTGTAGATTGAAGTGAAACCCTAAAAGTGACCTGTGTTCTGTACATTGAACTGGAACCCTAAAATTGACTTATGTTCTGTAGAAGTGAAAGTCTAAAAGCTGACCTGGCTCCAGACAACTTGATATCATGTCGGACAGCTAATCCATAATTCCTATTGGCTTCAGCCCTGTATGTTGTCCTCTAATTGAACACTTGATCTCTTGTCTAGTGTTGCTGTCCGTGCTTTTGACATGTTAAAGTGATTCTCAAGTGGACTAGTTTGTCACGAAAAAACCGTTATAGTCAAGCTGTGTGTTACTAACACCCACAAGGAGTCTGTGTTGGGAGTCAGTGGACCTTGGCTGGTAATGGTGGGGAGACTTTGCGCTGGGAACTTGAGTTGGTACTTGGCCGTATTGTCCACTTATATCATCAGCAATGGTCCTGCGATTGTCCCAGCTATTGCCATGGCTATGGTCCAGCTATTGTCCCGGCTTTTGTCCAGCTATTATCCCGGCTATTGTCCAGCTATTGTCCTGGCTATTGTCCAGCTATTGTCCCGGCTATTGTCCAGCTATTTCCCCGGCTATTGTCCCAGCTATTGTCCAGCTATTACCCCGGCTATTGTCCAGCTATTGTCCCGGCTATTGTCAATATATTTCCCCGGCTATTGTCCCAGCTATTGTCCAGCTATTGTCCCGGCTATTGTCCAGCTATTGTCCCGGCTATTGTCAATATATGTCCCCGGCTATTGTCCCAGCTATTGTCCCGGCTATTGTCCAGCTATTGTCCCGACTATTGTCAATATATTTCCCTGGCTGTTGTCCCAGCTATTGTCCAGCGATTGCCCCGTCTATTGTCCGGCTATTGTCCCGGCTATTGTCCCGGCTATTGTCCCAGCTATTGTTCTGGTTATTGTCAAGCTATTGTTCTGGCTATTGTCCAGCTATTGTCCTGGCTATTGTCCAGCTATTGTCCCGGCTATTGTCCTGGCTATTGTCAAGCTATTTCCCCGGCTATTGTCCAAGCAATTGTCCAGCTATTACCCCGGCTATTGTCCAGCTTTTACCCCGGCTATTATCCAGCTATTGTCCCGGCTATTGTCCAGCTATTGTCCCGGCTATTGTCCAGCTATTTCCCCGGCTATTGTCCCAGCTATTGTCCAGATATTGCCCCGGCTATTGTCTGGCTATTGTCATGGCTTTTGTCCCGGCTATGGTCCAGCTATTATTCTGGCTATTGTCGAGCTATTGTTCCGGCTATTGTCCAGCTATTGTCCTGGCTATTGTCCAGCTATTGTCCCGGCTATTGTCCAGCTATTGTCCCGGCTATTGTCCAGCTATTTCCCCGGCTATTGTCCCAGCTATTGTCCAGCTATTTCCCCGGCTATTGTCCCAGCTATTGTCCAGCTATTTCCCTGGCTATTGTCCCGGCTATTGTCCAGCTATTGTCCAGCTATTTCCCCGGCTATTGTCCCAGCTATTGTCCAGCTTTTACCCCGGCTATTGTCCAGCTTTTACCCCGGCTATTGTCCAGCTATTGTCCCGGCTATTGTCCAGCTATTTCCCCGGCCATTTCCCCGGCTATTGTCCCAGCTATTGTCCCAGCTATTGTCCAGCTATTGTCCCAGATATTGTCCAGCTATTACCCCGGCTATTGTCCACCTTTTTCCCCGGCTATTGTCCGGCTATTGTCCCGGCTATTGTCCCGGCTATGGTCCAGCTCTTGTTCTTGCTATTGTCCAGCTATTGCCCAGCTTTGCCCCGGCTATTGTCCCGGCTATTGTCGAGCTTTTTCCCAGCTTTTGCCCCTGCTATTGTCCCAGCTATTGCCCCTGCTATTGTCCCAGCTATTGTCCAGTTATTGTCCAGCTATATTTCAGCTATTCCCCATGCTATGGTCCAGTTATTGTCAAGGTATTTCCCCAACTTGTCCCAGCTGTTGCCCCAACGATTTCAAACTATTTTTCCAGCTATTCCCCAGCTATGGTCAAGCTATTGTCCAGCTATTGCCCAGCTATTGCCAAAGCTATGGTCCAGCTATTGTCCCAGCAATTGCACCAGCTATTGTCCAACTATTGCCCTAGCTATTTTACATCTATTGTCCTTCTTTTGCCCCTGCTATTTACCAACTTTTGTCCTGTTGTTTTCTATTGTACAGCTATTATCCCAGCTATTGTCCCAACTATTGTCCCAGCTATTGTCCCAGCTATTGTCCCAGCTATTGCTCTCTTCCATCTCCCCTTCCTCCTGTCCTCAGTGTGATTTCCAGTGCACACATGCATACATGTTACAGACCTGCTGTATTGAAACTGAAAGTGTTGCTAGTTGTGGTTGTAACACTTCCCATGCTGTAGTACAAAACATGACAGTCAATCAACTGTTTGATAGGCATCACTTAGAAGTTGAAGGATGACAAAGTGGACACAGCTTATGAATAACTTCCTTTAAACTGTAAAGGCGACGTTTCAGTATGGATCCTTATACCGTTGTCAAGCAAGACTGTTGATGGTGTTGATTGCCACATCTCCAAGTAGTCGACGGATGAATTGTTTGATAGGCGTTACTTAGAAGTTGACGGATGGCAAAGTAGACACAATCTATGGATAACAACTTCTTTAATACTGTTAAGGCGATGTTTCGGTATAGATCCTTATACCTTTGTCAAGCAACACAGTTGACAGTTTTTATTCCACATGATCCATTCACAAGAAAGGTGAGACTACCAACCAGTAACAAAATAATTAGGTCATTTTACATGCTGTTTGAGTGGGAGTCATTTTGAACAAAAAGCCAAGGAAATAAGACACACTTTTCTTGGAACAAACTCCCAGCCTCAGCAGCGATAGAAACTAACATTTGATGTCTGCTTGTCCTTATAATGATGACATATTACAAAACCCTTTAAAATGTCAAATCTCAACTAGCCCTTACAATACCTCAACAATTGGGCAGTTTGGCTTGCTCGCCTTCAAAATCATGGCGGGGGCACGGGTGGCCCAGTCGTCTAAGGTGCCGCGATTCGCTGTGCAGAGTTGCGTCCCTTGGGCACTCCAGAAACCTATGATTGTGGGTTCGAATCCTGGTTCGCCACGATTATGTTTCTAGGTTTGTCAGCACCATACCCGTGCTAGTGGGTTTCACCAAAGTGGTAAACTTCTGAGACCTGCATCACTTCGGGCTTTCCTCCCACTTAAGCTGACACGCCTTGATATTACTGGAATACTGTTAAAGCGGCATTAAATCCAACTCACTCACTCAAAATCATGGCACTAAACAGAGCTCTTCTTGAATCACCATGGCATCCTGTAGTAGGGTCAATTGTCTGACCTGTCAGGAGAGAGGTTTGATCATGCTCAGGCCAGTCTTAACAGTGTTTATAAATGACCTGACCCAACAAACAGCCTGTTTCATGTGTCAGGTTCTTCAAGTTCTTCAAGTTCTTCAAGGGGTACATCTGCAGCAAAGCATTAGGTTGCAACAAAACTCCTTACAGTGATCCCGCACTCCCTGTGTTCTAACCTTGGAGTTTAATAAACGTGTCACACAATGCCTTGGAGCTGGCTTTGCAGCATGAATGTACATTTTCTAGATAACCATACCGAAAATCGTAGCTTGTGGACAGATGTATTTGTTTTGTGTGCATGCTATGACAATATATTGTTGTTACAATATGAGATTGTTTTGTATTGAAAACACCCAACTGTTGCCCATACGTGATGATTCATGCATTATTATTGAACTAGACCACATTCTGGAATAAACACTGGATCATTAAGTGATTACACAGCAGAGCTATTTTAGTCGTTTCATAACTGTGGCTGTTCCTATAGACCATGTAGATGCTTTGACAACCATCATAAGTCAGTGTTTGACATTTACCATTAATGTCAATGGGTCCTTGTCATTATTCTGATGTTAAAAGTTAAGATTTAGGAGGTCCCTATATTCCAGTAGTAAGGTGGTAGACCTCAAGGACCCCAGGATCCCCCTAATAAAATCATGGTAATAGTTATCATGTTTGTCACAACTTCTTTTCCTTGGCCTTAACTTCAGGTATATGTCATGCTTTGTAGTTTGTTGAAGTTCAAATCAGTCATCAGTCTTCTCATTCTTCAGTGTTGCACACTTAAATAAATTCCCCCAGACCACAGGACTGGCTACTTACATCTTACCAGGCCTTGTCAGAAATGTTGCCAGTCCCAAATTTTGTGCATATTTTTTTCTGTTGTCTCTTTACTTCGAACTTGAATAAGGGTTGTTTAGTTTTTGTACATAATAGACATCACAAAAATATGTATTTCTAATTGATAGAAAAAAATACAGCTGTCAACATGACATGGTAGACTTTGTGTTTCGCCCGTCTTTCGTGAAAATGGATGGTGGGATGGGTTATTATTTGCATTCGGATGTCTTGCAGCTAGCCCGAACATGTCTATTTTAGTAGATTTTAGTATGGACTGTTGTTAGGTGAGCTAACCTGCTGACTAGAACGAAAACTAGAACTATTGAGAGAATGTTACCATGGTTCCACGAATATAAGGAAAATTGGTTTGATTGGAAGGCTAAAAAAGATAATAGTCTTGGTTCTCAGGCACCACCTGCATCATCGTAAAGTTTGCTGCACTTTTTGTTTATATTTCCATTCAAAAAATAAATCCAACAATAGTCAAATTCTGTATTCGATTTTACTCCTAAAGGAGGCCCTTTCCCAGGTTGATTGTACACAACTGTTTATTTGGTTACATACTAGCTTGAACCCCCCCCCCCCCCCCCAAAAAAAAAACCCCCAAAAAACACCGCCCGCCTGCACAATGTTTTCAAAAGCCATTGCCTGAGAACCAATTTCTTTTATTTTTTAAAGCCTAATATTCATGATATTGGCATGATTAAATGTTATTTTTAATTATTATTTTTAATGATGTAACAGAACAGCTGATGATCGATGTCATTATTAGTGTGTTGTTTATCTCTTGCCTGTTTCAGCAACTAGCACTGTCACCGACTACGATGAAATTCAAAGGGCTGCCAAGGAGAGGGCAGAGATTGTCGGCAAATATGACAAGGTAGATACGCTTACTTATGTCCTTGCAGATATGTCATATGCAAACATATGTTGTGATTACTCCGTGTTTTTGAAAAAGAGCATCAACAACACTAGTATCAATTTTAATTCATATTTCGCCAAATCAGTTATCAGTTGTAGATGATACTGTGCATTACGTCTAGAGTTATGTCCCTTGTCATTGATCCTCATGGAAACAAACTATCATGGTGATTGCTTGACAATGGTATAAAGATCGATACCAAAACGTCACCTTTACAGTATTAAAGAAGTTTATCCATAAATTGTGTCTGCTTTGTCATCTGGAAACATCTAAGTAATGCCTATCAAACAATTCAAAACAGACTTGGTATTATGAATCATCTCAATTGCCAGAGACTTAGCAACTGTTTTTGTTATAACCTAAACGTCGACAGCGTAATCCATGCATGAATGTCCCACCACTCACCACTGTCATGAATGTGTTGATTTCTTTCAGACTTTTTTGCACATTCGATCAAAGTTACTTCTCCAATATTTAGTTATCTCTATGATCTGTATTGCCAGCACGTACATGTACTATTTGTGTGTTCCAGGGCAGAGAGGAGGGGGCCCACATTGACCCATGGGAAGATCCAGCATTTGAGGTCTACCAAGTGACAGACAGATTCGGCTTCATCCAGTACGTAGTTCGTTCACACTCGGGAATTTCACAACAGCTGTTTTAAGTCTATGACTCCTGGTCGTACAGACTGGCAGTAAATATATGTACTAACTGTTCTAAACACTAAATGCTAAATAAATGAACCATAATTGTCAGTAGAATTATGTAAGATATTCAACCCATACATACTTTTAGTGAAACACAAACCCATCACTCTATGTACCTAAACCTTGCGGATGATTATAGATGGCGATGTAGGGCTTGTCATGGGTTTATCTAGGATTCCAAACTAAGAGCTATTGGAAAACAAATTGGGGGAGAAAAGGGATTTATTTTAAAGGTCCAATTTTCTTACATTCAGAGTCTTTATGATTGTATATATTAACATTAGATTCAGTAACGAAATTTTTTAGCATTAACGCCTTCCCTTTATTGGTCCTGAGATTGTTGAGATTCAGCTGGACCAGATGGCGGTTGGGTAGCCCAGTGGTTAAAGCGATCGCTCGTCACGCCGAAGACCCGGGTTCGATTCCCGACAAGGGTACAAAGTGTGAAGCCCATTTCTGGTGTCCCCCGCCGTGATATTGCTGGAATATTGCTAAAAGCGGCGTAAAACCATACTCACTCACTCAATCAGCTGTACCAGAACAAGCTCTCACAGTTATAACTACATAATCATGAATTGGGAATGTTTTATGTCCAATTTTGGAATTTTTGCTGACATTTGCTGCTAACTTGGGGCTGAATACCGGCCTGTGAGCAGGTCCAGACAAATCCCTGTATGTGTTCTGCGTGTTTCATGTGTATACCATGTGATCTGATGTCATGTGTGTGTATAACTGAATCCTCCCTCTGTATTGCAGTGACCATGCTCTGCCCGCCACCACGGATGCCGCAGAAGCCAAGGTTTGGAGTCGTGCAGTTGTTGTGCATACACCAAACTCCCCAGTCTCACTCCCATGTTGAGCATTAACATAGACCTTGTACTAGCTTATTAATGAGGATGTCAGAATTTATCATAAAAACTGAATTTTGGAAAGCCAGGATTGTTATATTGCACATTCAGTGTCTGAAATTAATGAAAAAATGTCACCTCAGAAACCTGTTTTACCACATGAAAATTACTTGGCAGCAAGTTAAGTTCCTGATTGTCAAGAGTTGAAAAGTATATTATTTACTAACTTGACATTGTCCTTGTAAGGTTTTGGTGTTGATCTTCGTCCTGCCTATAGCACTAAAACTAAAGAATTCTCCTTTCACGGAGTCTACTGAATATATCAACATCAGTGGTAGACCTGGAGTCATTCTACAGGAATTTCAGTCAGTCAGTGACAGTGTAGGATGTGCCGGACTAATTGTCTTGACAGATTTTCTTGTTAATCAAACAGTATTGTTAGCAAATTTAGCCAAAATACAGGATACACTTGTAATGTTATGTATAAACAGGTGTCTATCTCAAGTCATAACAAATAAGGTCATTTAATCATGAAGATCCGGGGTAGAATAGGCCTTCAGCACCCCATGCTTGCCGTAAAAGGCGACTATGCTTGTCGTAAGAGGCGACTCACGGAATCGGGTGATCAGGCTCGCTGACTTGGCTGATGCATGTCATCGATCCCAATTGTGTGGATCGATACTCATGATATTAATCACTGGTTTGTCTAGTCCAGACTCGATTATTTACAGACTGCCGTCATATAGCTGGAATATTGCTGAGTGCGGCGTTAAACAACAAACCAACCAACCAACTAAACCAACATTTAGTCATGGTTGTTGAGGAGTCTGTGCGATTGCTACAGAGTGCTTTGGTTGTGGCCATCTTGTTTTTTTTAAATTGAAAAGTTCACTTTAGTGTATTAATGGACATAGAGAATGTGTTGTTTAATTCTTAAGTCTTTGAGATACCGAATATATTTGACCAAATGCTGATTAACTTCATAATACAATTAATTGTCATTTTGCTTTAAAATGTCAGGAGGCTGTCAAATTTTGCATTGCCTTTATAGAATGTAGTAGCCATTGAGTGAGTTACCATTTAATGTAATCTGAATGCTCCTAATAGTTCCCTTTTGTTTCAGGCTAAGACTCTCGAGATTGAGAGAACTCAAAAATGGTTGAAAATGCTGAAGAGCTGGGACAAATATTTTCCCGGTGAAAAGGTAAATAAGGTGAAAAGCTTTACATCATTCTTCTTCATGTTGTTCGTATGAAGGTCCAAGGGCGGATCCCATAGGAGGTAGACTGATGATTTGATCTTTGTAGTGACACACCCTTGCTTAGTCATCATGTCCTAGTCACGTAGAGTGTTGCTTCACCTAGAACATGTCAGGCTTAGGATGTTGCCAGACACTGGCTGTTGGTTGTGGAGGGGATGGTAGTGTGATGTGGGAAAGGATGGGTCTGTTGGTTATGGAGGGGATGGTAGTGTGATCGGGAAAAGGATGGTTGTTTGTTGGTTGTAGAGTGGATGGTAGTGTGATCGGGAAAAGGATGGGTCTGTTGGTTATGGAGGGGATGGTAGTGTGATCGGGAAAAGGATGGTTGTCTGTTGGTTATGGAGGGGATGGTAGTGTGATATGGAAAAGGATAGTTTGTTGTGGAGGGGATGGTAGTGTGATGTGGAAAAGGATGGTTGTCTGTTGGTTATGGAGGGAATGGTAGTGTGATGTGGAAAAGGATGGTTGTTTGTTGGTTATGGAGGGGATGGTAGTGTGGTGTGGAAAAGGATGGTTGTTTGTTGGTTGTGAAGGTGATGGCAGTGTGATGTGGAAAAGGATAGTTGCTTGTAGACGGGATGGTAGTGTGATGTGAAAAAGGATGGTTGTTTGTTGGTTATGGAGGGGATGGTAGTGTGATTTGGAAAAGGATGGTTGTTTGTTGGTCGTGGAGGGGATGGTAGTGTGATGTGGAAAAGGATAGTTGGTTGTGGAGGGGATGGTAGTGTAATGTGGAAAAGGATAGTTGTTTGTTGGTTGTGGAGGGAAAAGAAGTTATTTCAGGTATGTTTTAAATCCAAGCAGTTGTCATTGTTTGAAAGATTATAAAAAATAATTTACATTATTTCTAGAAGTGTAATGCACTCTGCACCTCATTAGATCACACGAATCATCCTAGATATTTGCCTGTGCATGGTGCCATTCCGTGTCTGCATCAATCACTGAACATCATTCTGTTTGCCATCTACATCTGTCAGTGGTCACACTAGGGCTTATTACTAGTGTAGGGTGTTGCTTAACACTCACTATGGTGACATTTTCTACCACCTGGTAGCTTTCACTTTGTGCTAGGTAGGACCACAAGTAGCACCATATTTCATTCTGTGATGATTAGGAATGTTCGGTTTTTGCTGGGTTGAAATCCACTGGTCCGCCCTTGTCAGTAACACTGTTCATCTGTCTAACCATTGTCCATGTTGTGTTTTCTAACCTTGTTGTCTGTAGATTAGTAGCCTTAGCATCAACTATTATGTGATTTGTGATGTACATCATTCATGCCATTTTCACTGTGTCAGATGACACTCTATACCAAACTGTTTCCACAGTGCCTTGATGACATTGTTGCTTTCATGCTAAGATCAGTTAGAAAATCTACAATAAAAATATAACATGTCATCATGACCGAATAATATGACATTTCCACTTTCTACTCATGAAAAGATCAACTTGTCACATCACACACGGGATAAACATGTTATCTGACGAGATTAGCCTTGATATGTTTCTCCCAAAGGAGGAAAATTGCAAACTTGATTAATGTTTGGGATTTAGTGACAACAAACTGTTTCAGGCCAAGGGACTGTACTCCTCTTAGGTTGATGATGGTTTTCCTGTCATTCCATGCTATACCAATCTGATTACTTAGATATGTAAATAGAAAGATAAAGATATGAGTCTCATCGTCCCTATCAATTATTTTGTACACTGTAAATTTATCATGAAATTGATGTGACACCAGTTTAATGTGTTGAGATCCCAGTCTAACATGCATCATGAAGTTTGTGAGAGCAACCCTTCCATTAAAATCTGAAAACACCAACGCCAACACTAATAATGTTGAATACTTTGAATTGGTATGCAGTGTTACAATTTGTGTTAATACTTACATTGAAATGTTTCACCTACTTCATTTGTAACGAGACCGCCTCCGTGGTCTAGTGGTAGAGCGTTCGCCCGTTCGCCCGTTCGCCTGGAGGTCCGGGGTTTGATCCCCCCCGCCTCATACCAAAAGACGTTAAAAGATGGTACTTGTTACCCTGTCTGGCGCTCGGCTTTAAGGGGCTAAAACAAGGACTAATCGGCTCGGAGTCAGTATACTGTGTCTGAGTGGGGTATTCATGTTAAACTGCGGCATGGTATCTCAGTGAGCTAGCACTATAAATCGGCATCAGTCTGGACTAGTACAAGCAGCCACACTCACACGTCCATGCATGTCGCTATGTAAGTGCAATAATCTTGGACGCGACGTTAAACCCAATTTCACCTACTTCCGTTAAACATAAATAAGCAATGTGTGCTGTATCCATGAAGCGTCACCATGTGAGCTTCTATTGCTGTGAGACAAAGATGCAGTCGTGCATGGTTGCCAAGACTGCCATGACAAGTTGATCCACTTGTGTAAACAGACCACAACCAGACATGACATGGTACCCAGTGTGAAACACTTCATCAAGTGCTCAATTACACTGTTTACTGGGAGCGTGGTTATGTAATAAACGCCATTGTTTCCCGTAGGTACCATGAACCTAACGTGTCCTTATAAGCTGTTGAATTTTTCACTGTAAATTCACTTTTTGTTGTTTTGACACGACAAACAAGGATTTTAAAAACTAAGTACCGACTGCATGTCACTTGACATTGATCAGCCATCATTAAATAAAACTCGAGATTTTATGGATGCTTCAGTCATTCTGATGTGTTGCTTTGCTAGTGAAGTTGTTTGTGTACATTATTTAGTCTAGGCAGTGTGATGAGTTTGCTAGATAACTGCTATAGTTCTGTTACTATGACAACAGGGCCATCCTGTACAAAACATTCTATCAGAAGTTCCACAAGTTCTTTTGATGAGAAAATTGTGTAAATATATATTCCCTTGTACAGAATGACCCAGGCTTGTTTCTGTTTGATTACCACTTTACTTTGAATATTGTCTTTATTATAAGAAGTCCATTATAGACATCTTGTGAAATTTCCACATACAAGTACTTGCTATATAGTGTTTTAAAGCAGAAGTGATGCCTGTTTGTTTTTGTAATTTTCAAATTGTATTTATCTTCTGTTTTTAAATAGGAATACTGTTTTAAAGTGGCGTTAAACCAAACTCACTCACTCACCATGCTCACTGTTTTTAAATAAAATTTATTTTAATGGATTATCACCAGTTCTGGTTCCTTCCTTGACAAACTTACGTGATTATGTCAGCCATTGATCTTCACACGTGCCACACTGATCCTATTGATATGTTCCTAAGTAACAACATATTGCTGTGGAAAGGAATTGACTTTGATTTTATGTTATTTTCTCACCCTCTGTTTTGGGGGAGTAGATTAGTGATTCTGTTGTATTTGATGTTAATGAAGTTTCTGTTTGATTGCCCTATCACAGTCTTAAAATAACTAAGAAGTAATTGAACAATCTCTATATATTTTATGTTTTAAAAAGTTTTTATTATAAATAATTTGTGTGCAATATTACTTGTAAGTTATTAGCTTCTCATTAAAAGCTTTTGCTCTGTGTTGGAACTTGTGTTCATGCTAGAATTGTATAAGTACGTGATGAAAAGAGCCACTGATTTAGATAAGTTTGCTTCAGAGTTTGGACATTGTGATTGTGGGTTTGTAGGTGGAGCAGTTCTTTTATGCAGGGGATTGTAGGATGTCGATTAGATACCAGTTGTTTTCAAATATTATTTTGCTAATGCTGGTATTTTATGACAACTGTCAGTTAACAAGGAGGATCTACAAGGGAATCCCGGACCGACTGCGGGGAGAGGTGTGGTCTCGAATCCTCAACATCACCAAGATCAAGGCAGAGCAGGATGGAGTGTACCGGGTAGGTGGAGTTACACCTGTAGTGTTTACTGGGGAGGTGGAGTTACACCTGTAGTGTTTACTGGGGAGGTGGAGTTTAACCTGAAGTGTTTATTGGGGAGGTGGAGTTTAACCTGAAGTGTTTATTGGGGAGGTGGAGTTACACCTGAAGCGTTTACTGGGGAGGTAGAGTTTCACCTGAAGTGTTTACTGGGGAGGTGGAGTTACACCTGTAGTGTTTACTGGGGAGGTGGAGTTTCACCTGAAGTGTTTACTGGGGAGGTGGAGTTTCACCTGAAGTGTTTACTGGGGAGGTGGAGTTACACCTGAAGTGTTTACTGGGGAGGTGGAGTTTAACCTGAAGTGTTTATTGGGGAGGTGGAGTTTAACCTGAAGTGTTTACTGGGGAGGTGGAGTTACACCTGAAGCGTTTACTGGGGAGGTAGAGTTTCACCTGAAGTGTTTACTGGGGAGGTGGAGTTACACCTGTAGTGTTTACTGTGGAGGTGGAGTTTCACCTGAAGTGTTTACTGGGGAGGTGGAGTTTCACCTGAAGTGTTTACTGGGGAGGTGGAGTTACACCTGAAGTGTTTACTGGGGAGGTGGAGTTACACCTGTAGTGTTTACTGGGGAGGTGGAGTTACACCTGAAGTGTTTACTGTGGGGTCGGAGTTACACCTGAAGTGTTTACTTGGGAGGTGGAGTTACACCTGAAGTGTTTACTGTGGAGGTGGAGTTACACCTGTAGTGTTTACTGGGGAGGTGGAGTTACACCTGAAGTGTTTACTGGGAAGGTGGAGTTACACCTGTAGTGTTTACTGGGAAGGTGGAGTTACACCTGAAGTGTTTACTGGGGAGGTGGAGTTACACCTGAAATGTTTTCTTGGGAGGTGGAGTTACACTTGTAGTGTTTACTGGGGAGGTGGAGTTACACCTGAAGTGTTTACTGTGGGGGTGGAGTTACACCTGAAGTGTTTACTGGGAAGGTGGAGTTACACCTGAAGTGTTTACTGTGGGGGTGGAGTTACACCTGTAGTGTTTACTGGGAAGGTGGAGTTACACCTGAAGTGTTTACCGTGGAGGTGGAGTTACACCTGTAGTGATTACTGGGGAGGTTGAGTTACACCTGTAGTGTTTACTGGGGAGGTGGAGTTACACCTGAAGTGTTTACTTGGGAGGTGGAGTTACACCTGAAGTGTTTACTGGGGAGGTGGAGTAACACCTGAAGTGTTTACTTGGGAGGTGAAGTTACACCTGTAGTGTTTACTGGGGAGGTGGAGTAACACCTGAAGTGTTTACTGTGGGGTAGGAGTTACACCTGAAGTGTTTACTGGGGAGGTGGAGTAACACCTGAAGTAGGTGGAGTTACACCTGTAGTGTTTACTGTGGATGTGGAGTTACACCTGAAGTGTTTACTTTGGAGGTGGAGTTACACCTGAAGTGTTTACTGGGGAGGTGGAGTTACACCTGTAGTGTTTACTGGGGAGGTGGAGTTTAACCTGAAGTGTTTACTGGGGAGGTGGAGTTACACCTGAAGCGTTTACTGGGGAGGTAGAGTTTCACCTGAAGTGTTTACTGGGGAGGTGGAGTTACACCTGTAGTGTTTACTGGGGAGGTGGAGTTTCACCTGAAGTGTTTACTGGGGAGGTGGAGTTACACCTGAAGTGTTTACTGGGGAGGTGGAGTAACACCTGAAGTAGGTGGAGTTACACCTGTACTGTTTACTGGGGAGGTGGAGTTACACCTGAAGTGTTTACTGGGGAGGTGGAGTTACACCTGAAGTGTTTACTGGGGAGGTGGAGTTACACCTGAAGTGTTTACTGTGGATGTGGAGTTACACCCGAAGTGTTTACTGTGGAGGTGGAGTTACACCTGTAGTGTTTACTGTGGAGGTGGAGTTACACCTGTAGTGTTTACTTGGGAGGTGGAGTTACACCTGTAGTGTTTACTGTGGAGGTGGAGTTACACCTGTAGTGTTTACTTGGGAGGTGGAGTTACACCTGAAGTGTTTACCGTGGAGGTGGAGTTACACCTGAAGTGTTTACTGGGGAGGTGGAGTAACACCTGAAGTAGGTGGAGTTACACCTGTACTGTTTACTGGGGAGGTGGAGTTACACCTGAAGTGTTTACTGGGGAGGTGGAGTTACACCTGAAGTGTTTACTGGGGAGGTGGAGTTACACCTGAAGTGTTTACTGTGGATGTGGAGTTACACCCGAAGTGTTTACTGTGGAGGTGGAGTTACACCTGTAGTGTTTACTGTGGAGGTGGAGTTACACCTGTAGTGTTTACTTGGGAGGTGGAGTTACACCTGTAGTGTTTACTGTGGAGGTGGAGTTACACCTGTAGTGTTTACTTGGGAGGTGGAGTTACACCTGAAGTGTTTACCGTGGAGGTGGAGTTACACCTGAAGTGTTTACTGGGGAGGTGGAGTTACACCTGAAGTAGGGATTTACACCTGAAGTGTTTACTGGGGAGGTGGAGTAACACCTGAAGTAGGTGGAGTTACACCTGAAGTGTTTACTGGGGAGGTGGAGTTACACCAGAAGTAGGTGGAGTTACACCTGAAGTAGGTGAAGTTACACCTGAAGTGTTAACTGGGGAGGTGGAGTAACACCTGAAGTAGGTGGAGTTACACCTGAAGTGTTTACTGGGGAGGTGGAGTTACACCAGAAGTGTTTACTGGGGAGGTGGAGTAACAGCTGAAGTAGGTGGAGTTACTCCTGAAGTAGGTGGAGTTGTTTACAGGTAGGTAGGTTTTATTTTAGGCACTATATGTAACAGTTAAGACAGGAAGGATGCTTGCTGCTTATTGATGTTATATATATCAAACAAAATGCATTATTCATGTTATTTGCTGGAGACAAAATTGGTTCTGTTATGTCATTGAATACATTTCAGTCTGGTGGAAATATAAAACATCTTCTTTTTTTTTGTATTCAGCGAATGAGAGACCGTGCCAGGAGGACGTCTACCCACATTCGTCAGATTGACTTGGATGTGAACCGGACATACAGGAACCACATCATGTTCAGAGAAAGATACGGTGTCAAGTGAGTGCAGAGCCAGGCAGATGATTCTGAGGAGGATGATTCTATGAGGAACACAACATTTTGAAGTGCTTACTCCTTCATCTATCACTGGATATCAATCACTGGATTGTCTGGTCCAGACTCGATTGTTTACAGACCGCCGTCATATAGCTGGAATATTGCTGAGTGCTGCGTAAAACAACAAACCAACCAACAACCACCATCGGCCATAGCCAATTAATCTGCAGCTCATTATGTTAAATAACTAGATATTGATATGAAACAACTGGTCTGTCTCGATTGATAGCAGTCTAGTGTCCGTATCTATCCCCGAGGACAGTGTGTGAGCCATTTGCATCATACTTTGTGTCAAAAATCTTTTCTTTCAGTAGTGTTGGGAAATCATCACATGTATAGTCACATAGTTTTAGCTTTTCAAGTTTACAGTTTCTGTGGTGCAATGTACAAGATGATTTGTTTGTCAAAAGAGTAATCAATGACTTTAATCGTGATTGCTGTTCTGTTATATTTCCAACTGATTTCAGAGCAATATTTTCAAAGACATCTTTACTGTTTCAAACTTTATTGGGATTCATGAATTCTGGTTCAGAATTGATTATGTACCATAGCATTTACATGCTGACAGATAGCTGGTTTGGCATTAAACAGCAAATATATAAGTAAATAAAATAAAATTGCCTTTAATGGGTATCCAGCGTTAGAAATTGGCACTAGTCCTATGGTCCTTGCCAAACTGCTCAAAAGTTAAGTATCCTAAGGATAAGTAGAAATTTGCCCTTTTTAGGGGTTTTGCTATATGTTATCACCATAAGAACTAGTGGGCTAAAACTGTTAGTTTCTAGCGCTGGTATCTCTGAACAGTAGTGATGTATTGCTCTTGTGTGTTGCAGACAACAGGCCCTGTTCCATGTGCTGGCTGCCTACTCAGTGTACAACACGGAACTGGGCTACTGCCAGGGCATGAGTGAGATCGCTGCCCTACTGCTCATGTACCTCAATGAAGAGGTATTACCTACCAGGAAGTAGTGTCTCCAGCTAACTTGTTCATCTGACATATCAATATAAGGACAATGGGGATTCTGGGTTAGAAGTGGCGACTTAAAGGATCTGGTGGTCTCTGTGACTTGATTGATTGTGTGTTATCGTACCTGATGTCTTGGGATGTAACTAATAATATCAGTCACTGGTTTGTCTGGTCCGGACTTGGTTTTTTACACGATGATAGTTGACATCTGGGCTATTTTGTTTATGATGCTTTTTGCAAGGATTTATAGATCCTTGTGATGCTAAATTTGGCACAAAAAATCTCGCTTTGGGATTAAGCAGCTCATATAATAATAACTATCTCTAAGACAATGTAACTTTATCATGTTGATGGTAACTGTTTGTTCCATTGGTCCAAAGGACTTGAGTTAGTTGGGCCCCCTGTATTCATACCCTGATGGGTGCTCACACTGTCGACCACTAGGACTACTGTGACATTGATGTTGTATTGCTGAGTATATGTTATTAACAAGGAACAGTTTTGTCTCTGACAACACAATTATCTTGATGTCATCTTGATGACAAGATTTTGTTTATTTTGAAAATGTTATTTTAATCATATGTTTTGACATTCATCAATAATGTTTAACAAAAGTATGCTTGCTATTACGTATTGTGATAGATTAAATACCCACAATGAACTATGTTGCCACAACTCATGTTCTTTCTGCAAAACCCATGCTTGTCGTAAGAGGCGACTATGCTTATCGTAAGAGATGACTAATGTTATTGGGTGGTCAGGCTTGCTGTCATAGTATCACAATTGTGTGGATCGATGCTCATGATATCAATCTGGTCAATGTCTGGTCCAGACTGTTGTCACATTTTATGATATAGCTGGAATATTGCTGAGTGCAGCGATAAACAACAAACAAACTAAACTGTAGGGTTCAGATCTTGGAATCTTGTTCCTAACTATTCTTGACATATATTTATGATATGATTTCAGGAGGCCTTTTGGGGTCTGTCCCAGTTGTTTGTCACAGAGAGACACACAGTGCATGGTAGGAACTGGATTGAGTACCATACTTTCTTGAGAATTGTGGGCACTTTTTTTCCCAAAAAACACAGCTGTGTAGAATGGGGTGCGCATTATACACGCCATAATGAGTTTTGATGGTGTTTTTTTTGCCAAAGGCAAAGACTACCGTGAGGATGTAACACTGGAAATACGATGTCAACAAATCTGTACTGTAGTACACAAATTAATCATTTAATTACACTGTCTGGTTATAAAAAGAGTTCATTGTATATCTAGACTTATGTTTGTAAGTTATTTCATTAATTTTATTCAAAATTCCTTTTAATATTGTTTTAAGTAATTTTAGTGAAATCGTGTGTGAAGCGATCGGAGTATCACACAATTCACCGTTTTTAACAGCAACCACGGTCAGATTACCACTATTGACGCCTTGAAACGAACTTTAGGTGACAGAGAATGGATACATATATCATAAATGCCTTACTTTAACTCGTTAAAAGTCATATTGTTGTACTTGATACTTGGTACTTGAGTTAATCAGTGTTCTAGCCAAGGCATGCAGGGGTAGCCCAGTCTAGTTTCACACAATTGTGAACGCCCCTTAATGCTCACTTAGATTGGAAAGGCCTGGACAAAAAGACAAAATGCCTGTATGAGACCTTAAAGACTCGAAAAGAAAATTTTAAGAGTCCCTTAAAAGGCCTTGAATTCTGTGACCGACTCGTCCTGCTGGTACAGTGCTGAAACAGATTCAGACAATACTTACACGGCTAATCTGAGTGAACCGTCTTTTACTATACCCCACATGGCTGTGCAAAGTGTTGCAGTTGAATCTTTTTCCTTCTGTGGGGATTTTTGGTTAGAATAGGTCCTCAGCAACCTAAGCTGGTTACGACCTAATCGATTGGGTGGTCATGGTTGATTGCATGTCAACCTGTACGACCCGTGAAGATCCGGGGTAAAATAGGTCTTCAGCAACCCCAGCTTGCCGTAAAAGGCGAATATGCTTGTCGTAAGAGGCGACTAATGGGATTGGGTGGTCAGGCTCGCTGACTTGGTTGATGCATGTCATCGATCCCAATTGTGTGGATCGATGCTCATGATATTAATCACTGGATTGTCTGGTCCAGACTCCATTATTTACAGACCGCTGTCATATAGCTGGAATATTGCTGAGACAAACCACAAACCAACCAACCAATCAACCTGTGCTAGTCATGAGGGGCGACCTAATTGATTGGGTGGTCACACTCGACGACATGGTTGATTGCGTGTCTTCGTACCCTGATGACATTGATCGTTGTTCACAATATTTATTCACTGAGTTGACTGGTCCATACTCCATTCTTTACAGGCTGACATTATATAGCTGGAATATTGCTGAACGCGGCTTTAAAACAACAAACAGACACATTTTCCTATGAAAAGCTAGATAATTGCAGATTCAGCGATAATTACAAGGCAAGCCAAAGTCTGATCTTGGTGTAAGCCCACTTCACATCTCTGTGACCATCTTCCTCCAGTTGATGCTCCAGATGTTTACCCAGTACTTTTTGTGTTCAGGGTTCTTCATCCATGGATTCCCCAAACTCCTGCGATTTCAAGAACATCATGACGTTGTCTTGAAAAAGTTCCTTCCCAAAATCCGAAAACATCTGGTAAGATACAGAATTAAGTACTACTATGCTGATATAAGAGTAATGTTCATTCACACACCAACTGATACTTACTGACAATGCATGGGACTTTGTTGAGAATGAATGTACCCTTGTCAATGTATTCAGCATCTGCTTTAATTGGTGTTGAATTTGCCATAGTGCTAACCGTTTGTTTGATAGAGGCTTTAACTGGATACAAGATTTATTAGCAGAGCCGTACACATGTCTGACATCGACGATGCATGAATGTCAACAGACACATATATTCAAACATCAGGGGCAGGTAATTCTGATCATCATTTCCGGTTACACGGAAATACTTAACACAGAACAAGTAGCACAGGAAACTGTCGATTTAACTCATGTTTGGGGGATTTCAGACTATAATCTGTAATAAACTGCCACCACACCCAAACTCCCTAGTAAACAGGATGAATATAGTGTATGTGTTTTTCGGATAGTTTAGCCTTTGTCACCATGTACATATGTAGAATGCATCATCTGATTGAGTGTTGGCTGATTGACTTGCAGGAGAGGAATGAGATTTACCCAACACTCTACACCATCAAGTGGTTCCTTCAGTGCTTCCTAGACAGGGTGAGTACAAGCACTGGAACTTACTGCTGAATGACATAGCAATACTTAAGTAAATGATACGTAAATTAGAGGAAAGGAACATGTGTCAGTGCTTGAAGACAACAAGTTAGGTTTGTGAAGACAAAGATGAGGTTTATGAACACTATTTTATGTGTTTATGTTTCAGATCTGATTATTTTTGCAGATTTGAATTAGTGTAATTATTCTGGGATCTTGACCCAAATGTAAGATTGTTTTAAGAAAACAGGTCTGATAGCAGAATTCAAGTTAAGATTTAAGACCTATATTTTTAACTTATTCTGCATACATATTGCACATTGCTCTTTCTACCGAAGTTCTCCGATCTATCAGCATCTTCAGTAACATTTTTGCCCAGCATGACCTCCATGACCCTTGTGACATGTGCTGCCATTATTCCCTTCTTCAATAACTAAGCAGATTGTGAGAGAAGAGATCTTAACTTCTTTTTTTTCAAATTCTATCTTTGCTGGTTGAATTTCATACTGGGAAGTGAACATTTGATTATTCAAAACCTTTTGTCTTAATCGGAAATTTATCATTCACGAGGACAGTACCCATGATCGGCTGCCTTAAGTCACATGCTTGAATTTGACCAATCACGATCCTTGTAGCAGATTTTGTCAAGAAAGCCTCCTTAGAAACCAATTTCTATCCAGTAAAATCACATGTTACAGCTTCGAAAATACACCAGGGGGAGGTAACTATCATATTATTGACGTCATAAGCATTCTAGTGAACAATTTAAAGATCGAACAAATCTTCATAAACAGTGATGTCTCCCAGTATTTTCTCATGTTACCGAGGGGAAAGCCACTGTTATCAGGAAATGGGTGATGACAGATAAGATATAAAATTCCTTTTAAAATAAATTTCCAATTACGTTAACAATGGAAATGAATGAAAGATAGGAAAGTGGATATAACGAAATCTTATGATTGCTGAAAATCATCAAATTTTTGCTTCCCAGTTTGAAATTCATCCAGCATAGTTAGAATTTGAAAAAATTCATCAGGTAAGATCTCGTCTCTCACAATCCACTTAGTTTGTGAAGAAGGGAATAATGGCATACAGGGGAGTGTCTTTCGACACCACATGTCACAAGGGTCATGGAGGTCATGTTGGGCAAAAGAGTACTGAATACGCTGATAGATCGTCATTCATTTAGAGTGAGGACTTCGGTAGTAAGGGCACAATGTGCAGTATGTAATGCAGGATAAGTTCAAAATAAACATAATGCTCTGATTGTGGAATGGTTTTTTAATATACAAATCATATTAGTAAAGAAAAATTATTTTTTGAACAAATCTGAAATCAGAATTAAAATATATGTTTTTATGTTTGTTTATGAGACTATGACATTAGTAAACCAATGTGATTCTTTTGTTGTCTTGCCTATACTTATGTTGTAACAATAATCTGTATGAATACATGGCACTTTTTTTTGCTTAACAGCCTTTAGATTTAAACATGCTTAAAAAATAAAATTTAAACAATTTACAAATTGCCATGTATCCATGTTTCTTCTAAGTGCCTATCAAAGTCTGTATGTTGTTTGCCAGACTCCCTTCCACCTGACCCTGCGACTGTGGGACGTGTGGATGCTGGAGGGGGACCGAGTGCTCACGGGGATGTCCTACTGTATTGTCAAGATGCACAGAAGTACGTACTCACCAACACCAGTGGTAGAAACTAACATTTTTGGTCCACTAGTCCTTATAATGATAATATATAGCAAAATCCTTAAAAATATCTACTTGTCCTTATGATACCTTAACTATTGGGCAGATTGGCAAGGACTATAGGACTAGTGCCAATTTCTAACCCTGAACACACACTCACATTCCACATCTGTCCTGTGTAAATACATACAACATATGAATGTAGTATATATTTGAACATTTGACGACCTCTTCGGGATTCTGCGGCACAATTTTCCCTCACTGTATCATGATTGTCACAAGACTGGAGTGAGTGAGTGAGCGAGTGAGTGATTGAGTTTCTTTTATGCCATTTTCAACAGTATCAGTTATGTCAAGGTGTGTGAGGAATTCAAGCCCAAAGTGATGCAAGTTTTAGATGCTTAGCATCGAGGTGAAACACATGAGCTGGCTATTGTGCTGACAAACCAGTGATTATGATCTGGACAAGTACATGACCTCAGTATCATGACCTCAGGATCATGACATATTGAAGGGACAACTGTTCTCTTCAAATAAAGGTGCCTGGGATGACTGGGCCCATTAGAAAATGACAATGTTCAGTGGTATGTGTTTCCTGAAAATGTTTCCTGAATTGAACAAAACAAGGTTATTGATCTAAAAATATCAGTTATTCTATATTTGATGTGTCTGGTTTATTTCAATGCATGTACAATAATAATGTTAATTTTGATCCTTGTCCTCCTTCCCAGGACGAATTGGTCGGATGCAGATGGACGACCTCTTGTCCTTCTTCCAGAGCAATCTTGAGAAGGACTTCAGCTATGACGATGACGTTGTGGTCGAGCAGCTTCAGATCTGTATGGAGGAACTCCGAAAAGCCAGGATGGACGTCCCACCAAAAGCAAAAAATAACGAGTCTCCTACACTTCCATTTGGGCTAGATATTGAGCCCAGCATAGATCAGTTGATAGGGAGGAGAACGGTAGAATCTATAGATGAACATTTCCGACGGAATCCCAGAGGTGGAAAGGCAGCATATCACCGAAGGCGGAACTTGGGCACAAATGGTACCCCTGAAATGTCGCGCAGTCGGACTGATACTCGTTCTATACAATCGAGTCGGTTGTCTGAGTACTCTATAGACGGATCATCGTACTACGATACTGCTGGCAACTCCAGAATGTCCTTAGTAGATTACAGTGTGAGGACATCCGTGCCCAGTTCACGCACATCGTTTGCTGATGCTTCAGAGATGAACAGCCTCAATCTTGGTCACAGTACACAAACACTTGATCGGGTGTCCGATTTTGATCCGGACAAGACTCCTGAATACGAGCATGTAGAACCTCCCAGGATGGCCACATCGGAGTATCACCAACGATATGAAGTAGTTCATCCCATCACCGTGGTCGATGTTAAAGTGGAGCCCATGGAAGCTGAAACACAGCCATCGTCGGAAGCATCGGACTACGATAACCTGAATGGAATGGAGGATTACTCGGACACAGGAACGCTACGTCCGTCAATGCCGCAGAGCAAGTCTGATGGCTACATGACGGTACATACTGACAGTGAAATGGTTGTGATGAACGGACACGATCAAATATCTACCAACATGAGACTAACCCGCACAGAGGATAGTCTTCATCAAAGTCAGTTTTCCGACCGTACAGATCACCGGGAGGTTGAGCACCAGAACGGTGTCCGGGTCGAGCGTCAAATCTCACGCCAGGTCCGAGAGACGTCCAGTACGTCAAGGAGGGTCATCCACACCAAGTCCCACAAGGAAACAGTCTTTCTTTGAACAAGCGCATCACTACACTTAGGTTATTTATTCTTCACGTAAATGACAGTAACGTCTTCAACATCCTCATGATCATAACTAGGTTTGACAGATTAGTTAGAATTCAGTGAAATCCTTTTGTCCATGTTTGCCATGTCTTTTGATAAGGATGTTCCTCGATTGAAAAATTCAAAATTTGATTCAACCATTTTCTATAATTAGGGAATACTTTTTGGCAAATGTCCGCTTTGCTGTCGTCTGTCGATAGTTTTCTCATTGTCATTTATTATTTTCTCCAGAGGAGCATGTCATTGTTATGAATTCAAGGTTACAGATTTTGGAACCACCAATGATATGTGTAGCATTTACAAGTTCAAACCGATTTGATAATATGTACATGATTGTTTTGTATGTGATTTTATAATTATTCACCGATTTGACCAATTGTATTGCTGTATGTTGAATGTATAGGGCTTTTAGATTGTTGAGCAATGGAAACGTCTTTACTATACTATCACCACTGATGTTACTCACTCCAACTTTTACTCACATCTGTTTTAGAGACTTCGTCTGTGATAATGGGTTATTTCGCTTGATGGTAACGTGTACGAGAGCTTCAAGCTTGAGTGTGTCCATTTTGTTAACAGAGAGAAAGCTTTGCTTTGTGACTTCATCAAAACCTCCCATCTTTTGTACAACCAAACATGAATTTAACATGATCAAAACAGTTTTGTTCTGTGGGTCATGTTCATTGTGTAGCCATGGTAACTGTTACTATAGCAACATTGAATATCCCCAGATACCTACTTCTAAGCTGTGGATGTTAGACTTTAGTCATGATACCTAAGTTGTCGGAACTTTCAGCACGATCTATTTCAATTTTTGTGTGGTTTAAAAGCAGTGAAAAAAGTGAAAAGCTGAGTAATAAAGTATAGCTTTTTTTGTTAAACTTGGACTTTTCTGGAAAAGACTGACAGTGAAAATTCCTTTTTTTAGCTCCCCTGGGCCTGAGTGATCAAGTGCTCTTAGTGCTATCATGCAACACTTGAAGTGGTGAGGTCACTTTGTCACACAGGTCCATGGAGCAGTTCAAACAAGGCCATTGTAACAGATTTACAATAGTATTAGCGCTAAGATCGCTTTGTGGAACAGGTTTAGGGCCTGTTCAAACAAGCAATATTAGTGCCATGATTGTACCTCTGATAAAGGTTTACTGATAATATTAGCACTAAGATCACTGTGGAACAGGGTCTTGACTGATTGAGATGTTGTCAAGATTCAAGTTCTATTCTGATCTTGATGTTTCCTCCTGAGGGAGAATCTCCTCCAGAACAGGATGTAAGTTATCGGCATTTCTGAACATAATCATGTTGATTGAACATTATCATTAGTTTAACAATAATCATTGATGAACTTACATTTTAATAAGATTAATTTTATCTCCCTGAACTACAGTTAAATATGATCTTTGATATCGCTGTGAACTACAGTTTAATATGAACTTTGATATCGCTGTGAATTTCAGTTGAATACCATCTTACATTTCGTTGTGAATTACAGTTTAATACCATCTTTGATTGCCCTGTGAAATATTTTTTGTTATCATGTTTCCTAAATCTTCTGATTAGAATCCTGGGTCCATGAGGACAACACCCGGTGCTCCTGTAAGTATAACATATGATATTGGTTCCTTGGGCACACATTGTCACTGTACACCTCCCTGGGGGGGTTTACCTGGCACACATCAAATCCAGTCCCCCTATCGATAGTTATCACTTCTCATCAGTGTCACATGATCTGGTCACGCCCTCATCTTTAACTTTGACCTATGCAAGCAATATTTGTGTTTGAAACTTACAATGATATCGGCTAGTCAGGTTGGTTTGGTATTGGCTATGGGGAACTTGATAGAATGGATGTGGTACCATGGCATACAGGGGAGGGGTTTAGGGGAAAGGATACCTTTGTATGAGAAAAGTGCCCATGAATTCATCACGTCTGATTTGACAACCAAACTCGCTCCCCCGTTTTGCCCTCTGAACACCAAGCCCTAGCATCCAGCGACCACCCACCATGTCTAAAAATTCAGAACATGACCCCCCCCTTCACACACATATACACACACACCAAAGGTAAAAATTTGAAATGTGAATCTTCATACACCTCTTAAGTATGTAGCACAAGACCTAGAAACCTATCTTACTCTGCGCTACCATCTCCAGTGATGCACATATTAAGGGTAGTTTGGACATGGTTTATATTAGAACCTCGTGTGAAAAGACTTGATACATGATTTATGTCTTCATATTATAGATTTCAGAAGTTTCCAATTAAGAGTTATTGAATTGTCTTCATGAATCTCTATTTAATTGGGAAAGACTTTTATATATTGTATCAATATTTGCTTCTCATTTATAAATAAATGAATACAGTTCTATAAACAAATACTTCAGATATAAGAAAAATGGTTTTCTATTTTTGCTGTTGTTAGAGCAAAACCGGTCACAAATGATATCAAAACCAGTAGTGCTCCTTCAACTGGTGATTGTGTGACAGGTCTTTTAAGAAAGTGTTTTGGCTTGATGGCATTAAAGAAGCAGGTGGTCCGGTTTGTGTCTGAATATTTTACTGATCTCATCCCCAGGCCACTGCACTTATATTGTCTTCCACGTAATCCCTCATGTTGATGTCTTCTTCGGTCGGTGCAACATGGCTGTCAGGTTAAACAGGGTTCGTGCACACTGTGTCCCATGTTAAAGTATTACCGAGTGTCCAGATGGGGAGTAACAGCTTCACCAGCATCATACAGTTTGCATCTTGAGCATTACTTCTTATGTCAAGTTAAGAAAAATTGATTTTGATTAAGTAGACTCAGCTGACTCATATTTCCTGATTAGAATATGAAACTTGAGACTAATTGTTTACCAATGTACTACAATCAGAACTGTTTGGCAGACTGGTGACAGTGTCATTTTAGAGGAGATTTTTCATATTCAGAGTTATCCATATATGTTTTTTAGACGTTGATGATTTTTGTACCTGGTTTGAGTGATGGCCTGAATACCTCCTCAAGTGACCATCCTCGTCATGGAAGGGCAGTCCGGTAGAGATGCGCAGTGGTTTTACTCAGGTGATGAGGATGCAAAGAAAAGATTTGTTTTGCTGTGATTTTCACTGTTGTGACCCAGTTGCTGATAGATGGAAGGATTGCATATTGTGTGTAACATTCATTAGTCTGTAGTTTGCTGGTACTGTGAACGTTCAGGAGGGTCTAGTCGGTATTGCTTCCATTCATTACAAGGAAGATAACATTGTCTGCCTTATTGCAGCAAGCTTAGTTAGCTTTGGATATTGTTACTCTCAAGTATCCCAACATGGAAACCAACGGCTGAAATGGTACACCAAAATCACATTACAGTTTGCATGTATCACACTATTTCGTGATGATAAGAAACATATGACAACAACATACTTAACTGGAAAAGTAGAAGTGTATTTCATTATTGGCATAACAATGAAATTCGAACAAAATATTTTCAGGACATGTGATCACATTGAATATAGGACTTAGTTACTGTAAATCAAATAGGTAACAGCAGTTAGTAGACTCTGAATGAGCAGGTAATTAAACAATAGTTAATCAATTAAAAATGTTTTATGTCTTGAGAGAGTGTTATAAACACCAAACTTCCCTGATGACTCTGCGAGCAGTGTTTACATATATATTAAGGACATTACATCGAAACATTGTGTTTATCCAGAAATGTAGAAACAGTGTTGTTAAGACCAACAAGGTTTCACTCTTAATAGCTACATATCACAGTGATGGGGTGAGGTAGCCTAGTGGTTAAAGCGTTCGCTCGTCACGCTGAAGACCCGGGTACGATTCCCCAGGGTACAAAGGGTGAGGTCTGTTTCTGATTTTCCCTTGCTGAAATATGGCTAAGAGTGCTGTTAAACAATACTTGCTCACTTGCTCATTGAAGTGATGGTTCATCATCCTGAAAATGTGGTTTGGTTCTCTTCATGGGGACAATGTCTGAAGCCAATTTTTGGTGTTCCCCGCCGCAGTGTTGCCTGAATATTGCTAAAGTGGCGTAAAACAATACTCACTAAAGTGATGGTTCATCATCCCCAAAATCAGGTTGTAGTCTCCACACTCTTTGTTCCGATTCCACCCGTTCTTGATGTCCCCAAGACATTGCTGGCTTGCTAGAACCAGCAACAGTGGCGTGAAGCCCTGCTCCTACTGTACTGTACTGTACTGTACTGTGATGGTGTATTGTTCCAGACTCATCTCTGCCATGAAGTAAACGCACATCCACGTGTTCAGCTCTGTGTAGATATGCTTAATGATGTACATGATTCTTCTGTATATTGGACAGGCCCATCATGGCGTCCTTGCGTTGTTGGCAACATTACAGCTCAGTGTTGCTCTGTGTCTGACAGTGTGTGTGTGAGTTCTGTGGAATTGTTCTGTTTTCTGTGGAATACAGTTACTGTTATTTCCCTACCGATTGGTTTATTGAGAGGGAGTTTTAATGTGGATAACACAGAAGTGACTTGTCTTGTTATCTGTGTGTTAAACAAGGTACTTGGTGCATAATGTTTTCCGTGGTTTCTGTCAAATACTCTGAATGTATTTCTGTATATTTATCAGACCGTTTCCTTGGTGCATGATTTTGTTGGATGAATACCGTGCTGCAAATATGTAGACATCATGAGTGGAATGAACACTACTTATGATATTAACCTAGTCACAAGTTTTGAAAGGAAGCAATAAAAACCAATTGCTTTTAAACAGACATAGAGTTGATTTGAATTCTAATGATAAACTGATGTTTTTTTAGTGAGGTATTGGTTGATAGGGAATTATTGACTTTATACAAATGATACAAACAGACAAGAGTTAAAGCTGATTTTTTTTTTAATCCATGTGTGTGTTTCTACATCGAGGGAATTAGAGGTTATAAATACTATGGACACCTTACAGCAGCAACGTGCTGATAGTTAGACCATATAAAAACAGATTCTCGGTTCTCATCACTTTGTTAATCTTTCCCAACCATGCCAGGGGGCACGGGTGGCCCAGTCGTCTAAGGCGCTACGATTCGCTGTGCAGAGTTGCATCCCGTGGGCATGCCAGAAACCTATGATTGTGGATTCGAAACCCAGTTCGCCCCGATTATGTTTCTAGGTTTGTCAGCACCATACCTGTGTTCGTGGGTTTCACCGAAGTGGTAAACGTCTGAGACCTGCATCACTTCGGGCTATCCTATAGCCTATATAGCTGGAATATTGCTGAGTGCGACATTAAACAACAAACAAACAAAACAACCACTTGTTTCCTATTTGTTAATGCTATTGTTCTCAGTATAAATGCAGAAAATATTTGAATAGCAATGTTGACAGTAACTTTTGTAAAATGCCTGTCTTTATCAACATTTGAAACTGTTGCGTATAAAGTACATCTTAGAATGAAAAATAAATCTTTAAACTCTGAATTGGAACCATACATGAAACCTTGGTTTGGGCAGTGATGAGAAACAAGAATTGTTCTTTATATGGCATCTATTCAATGACAGAAAGGGCGGTGGTGTAGCCTTAATGAAGTTTCAGCTCATCACTGGGAAGGCTCAGGTCTGATTGCCCTCACTGGTTTGGTGTGTGATGAGGCTATGGCTAGCCTTGAGGTCAAACCATTTGCTTGTCACACCCAGGTTCATGGCTTGTTCACCACATGGGTACGAAGTGTGAAGGGCATTTGTGTCTCTTGCCAGGATATTGCTGGATCCACACTTAATGCAGAAATCCACAGTCACTCAAGAACAATAATGTTGTCCTGGCATGAACAGCTTCTGGCAGCCCCAGTGAAGACCTTCAGTGACAGGTTGTGTCTAACATGCTGTCATTAGGATCAGCGGCTTTGTGCCACCATGGATTGCAGGATGAGTTGGGCCAACATCAACAAACTATATTCACAGACTCCCTTTGAATCCCTATGAAGATGCTTCCATACCCTGGACTGTTATTTGTGTTAGTGATCAGAGTGAACTGATCCACTGTGATGATAACTCAACCATCTGATATGTAACCTTTTTCAGTGTGTAAGTGTCTGGTAGCTCATAAGCTGGTACTGACATTCAAATATAATTCCATGAATTCTATTACTCAACCAGATAATGTCTCGCTGTTTGAACAACATGCACATTTGACCAAAAAATCTCCTTTTTTTTTTTTTTTTTAAAGAAAATCCGCCTTTTTATACTTTGTTTTATGAGCATGATAAAATTTTATCATGACTTGTATCAAGATGTCTGTGGATCATTTCAGTCCAACATAGAGAATACATACAAGAATAATTCACTGAATGAGAGAATGTGATAGCCAGTTTATGTTTGTGCATGCGCAAAATGGGTTGATTTGTAACACTTTGTTACCATGGTTACCCAAACTGTAACCATGAGACATACTACGAAGTATAGCAAATGTATTTCAGATGTTTATATATATTTAGAGTGTGCAGAATACAGCTGCCATATTGTGTAGATTGTATGTACTCCAATATTGGTCTGTGATTATCGTGTATATTGGCTGTATATGTGGATATAGTGCCATACTTTCAGTGTGTGTATATAGTCTATATTGTGTCATATGCAATGAAACGATTGTAGAGAGTATCTAGTTATACAAGATCTGTAATCCTATGTACGAACACTTTTATTTTTAATCAGAGTTATTGTTATACAACAGAATGGAGAAACAAATAAATCAGATTTTTTTATCTTAGCCGTTTCCTGCACTTGGTCTCTTGTGTGGTGAAAAGGGCATACATATATATGTACAAGAAAAATGTATGTTTAGAAAACTTTTACTTTTAAATCAAAGTCATTAAAATGGAAGCTGTGCTTATATTCAATCTGGTCTACTTTGGTACAAAAAACTGCCAGAATACAGTGGGTTCTTAATTGTATGTTTGTCAGATTTTTATGTTTTAATTTGACATATACTCGCTTTGGTCGAAAAAGTATGTTTTCTTGTGAAGAGGGATGGTGTGCAAAACTTTAGAATATTTGTTTTCTCAATTTATAACATATTGAAGCCAATTTGGGCATAAAAACCTCCTTTTGTGGTTCTTCTAGAATTCCATCATGTGAACCTGGCGAAAGCATTATTTACTTGGTAGTTATAAGTTGAAGAGCAAGCTTTAAATTGTTCTTCTTCCTTGAAGAAGCTTCCACTGATGAATGTTTTACTACTGCCTGAACAAAACAGTTCAGCCAAAGTTGAAGGATATACACTGTTTAGAAATGTCTTTGTAGGAATATTTTGTGAGACGCTGTTGCTTCATTTATATGTGCATTTGTTAAAGTCAGGTACTGCTTGCCGACACGTCATGGTGTCTTGTGTTAAGAAACAGCAGATATCTGCTCATCTGAGACATGTGATGATGCTGTGCATGGATTAAACTAAAGACTTTGTAGGTTCATAAAGATTTCATTCCCATAATCTTCTTGCCTTAGATAGGAAAAGTTTACCTCAAAGATATTCAGAAATAAGTGCCATTATGTTCATGATCACTGACCTGTCATTGCGAAGTACATACTTACATGATCATGGCTTACATCACCATTGGAACATTTGAACAGTGACATTAACAAGTTCATAATGAAGACGTGCAATAAGTAATTTTTTGTAAATTTGTAGAAATTTACGTAAGTGTAGTAGGATGATTTCTGGCCCAAAGAGAAAAGTATTGATCCACCTTGATAATATATCTGCTATATATATATTCCTGTAAACGTATGTTTCTTGTGTATGATCCTATTCCAAACAAGAGATGTTCTATGTAAGTACTATTGAAATGATATCCAGATATTTGAACTCCTAATACTGCATAGTGTATGTCAATGTTCTTTGTAAATTTTCTTCCCATTCATCCATTTGAGATTTCATGCTTTTTCGCCATACTGTAGGAAGGGCTAGCAATGAACCCACATGCAACAGTGATTAGATGGTAGTTCTATGCAAATTCTCATTGGATGTCGACTTGTTGAGGAGCAGATTGTGCAGTCCCAGTGGCCTGGCTGACACCATCTATGCATGTTGTTGTACAGCAGACACTCTGGGCCCTCAAGCATCTCTAGGTGAGTCTTGTGCTGTTAATAACAGAGGAGAGACATGGCTAGGCAAGGTGGTTTAGTCATCATATTTGACATGTTTCATAGTCATCACTAGTGTTTTCTACAGTGGAAGTTTGTAGATTTGTGAAAAGTCCTGAAAATTATGTGTTTGAGTCTGTCATAATTGAATACAATTTATTGTTTGTAATTTAGCAGAAGTGTGTAACTAGTAAGCACCTGCAATGTTAATGGCCATGGTTGAAATTGTTACATACAATCTGTGAGCCATTACGTGCCCTGGTCGCCCCATAAAGTGCTGCAAGTGTTTGTGATTTTATAGGTTTGGAGAAACATATTTTTTAGATTAGAAGGTACAACTCTACATGTGTCAGTCAAAAATATTTGAGTCTTTCAGTAAACAGCTCATGTTGGCTTTTTGTCTGTGCTGTAAACTTGCTGATGTTGCGTAAAGTTTTATTCAATGACTTGCTGTTTGTAATGATTGCTCTCTATACGAGACATCCTATGTGGTGTAGCTATCTGTTAAAATTGATAAAATAATTCTGTATCTTAAATCCCAAGTGTCCAATAGGATGTGTTGTGTAAACAAGAAAGTATCAAGTCCTACACATGCACAAGGAAGGGATCTACCCATCTGTGTTACTCTGAACGTACCAGAGGTAGATGTTCCTTGAGGAACTGCATCACCACTCCATGCCCAGTGTTTCCCATGTCTCTTCCTCTCCACAGGTTAAGTCTTGCTATGTTCACACACAGCCATGTATATAACTGTAACACTGTGTACATGTACATTTCTGTAAGATAGAAACTCCATGTCGACCAAGTTTGTGTCCTGTAACTTGTGGCTATTTCTAAGAACTCCTGAACTGTAAACAATTGTTTGAGAGCACTGCCTGCCTCCCGCACCCGTCATTGTGTATGTGTTCGGTGTCTGAAGAACTCTGTGGGGACTAACTTCACCATTCAATACCACTCCTTGCTACATCCTTAACGTACAGGATATGTTTCTCAAACAGTATTGAAATAAAATGTAGTTTTCAGCTATTGTCGTTTTCTGTTGTTTGTCTTATGGTTCTGTGACGCACGTTTCCCATGTACGTTTTTAGTCAGGGACCCGTTCCAAACAACAATCCTTGCGCTACGACTATCGAAAGTCTGTGTTAAAGTGAAGAAGCTGCGATCCTATTAGCTCTCATGTGGCCGTGTGGAACGGGCCTTTCAGAAGACATCACATTTTGTATCTTGTTGGATCTAGTGACAAGAAGGTGACAGGTCCTATGCTGATGGTAATTGTTTTTGATTTACTGAACCTTAACATGTACGTGTTTTTGAAGCCAATGTTCTCAAAGACAGACATGACGAGTTGTCTAAGCTGCTGAGTTGCATCCCTTGGCCGTTCCAGGATCCGTTCTTCTGTCAGCACATTCCCCATGATCGTTGGCTTCACCCATGTGGTAAAGCCTACGATCGTTGTCATTATTGACTTTTTTCCACTTAAAACTGACACCCCGTGGAAAAACAAGATTCGAGCCAAACCCATTCAGAGGGTGTAAAGTCTTATAGCTTCGATCACTTCCATATTATATTCAAATGAAGTGTGTTTATAATGAATAAGGAATGTACATAAAACAGCATCAGCTGCAAGCAATCTTTGATGTCTTGATTTTAACAGATCGGACGATAAGATCATGTATGTATGTTATCACCTCCTTAAAACTTTTGACACCGGTCGTGTTTATCCCTAATCGGCACAGATCCATTTTTTTCACCTCTACCTCAAAGATGACAAATCGCCTACGTATCGAGCACATTGGTAGTCCGAACAAGTTGGATATCAAGTCTTTTAAAAAATCACTCTTTGTGATGTTCATGAATCATGAAGCGGTTAATGATTGTTTAAATTTCTCACGAGGCAATGTCTCACACACAACACTCACAACACGGCCTCACAACAGTCACGTGCATTTGGTGTATAGTGATGCAGTACACGAATATGTAAAGCGGGTCATCTCAGCGTCCTATTTGTCGCCATTTGAACGTTACCCACAACAGCGCTACGAGACGGGATCCGGTGTAGTAGGCTCAAACGACTCCCCCCCCCCCCTAAATTTGAGTCATATGGATCTAGGCTCAAATGACTCGCCAAGCCAGGGTCAAACCACTAACTCCCCTACTGGGCCCAAATGACTCCCCTTTTTGGGATTAAAATGATTGCAGAAAAGACCAAACATATCTTGTATTATAAAGGTTTTCAACCCCTCTTCCTCATTTTCTATTCTGAAATGTCAGGTCAAGAACAATCCCCAATATTGTGTGTCAGATGTTTTAGTACCAGTTATTTTATTACAGTTTTATATTTAACTTAATTTGGAAAAATTCCAGGTGCCTCTCTTAAATCACTATACTTTTCTTAACCTATAATTTATTTTCAAAATACTCCCTGTGCCCCACAACCAATTCTTGAGTATCAAGCTCAAACTATTCCCCCTGTTCTATATACACAATGAAAAAGCTAATTACACCCCCATTTCTGAACCATGACAAATGGCAAAAATCATGGCATGGGATGACTGACCACATGAGCTGGGCGATACCAATGTCATCGGATAGAACAAACATTTGACAAATAAAGAAGATATTAGTGAGTCGTGATTGAAATTTACTGACAAAAACATCTTGGTAACACAGGTACTGTTTTTGACCTTAGACAATACCTAAAAAAAAGTATGGAGCTGCAGGATTAAGTAAACGAGTTACGTTTGATGTTTCATGTGAAAATGTTCCTTAAAGTCTCTACTTGACATGACACGTGAAACAGATCAGTAGCGGGTATAACCTCCACGTACCCGGATGACGCAGTCCTCCACACGTTGCATGCCTCAAGTCAGACGTTAGATCTGTTGATGGTTCAAATCTCATTGCTGGCCAGGGTAGAGTCGTTATTGCATTTGCCCTCATGTAATCCACGACTGCATGCGAACGATGAGGCCTGCATTGTCACCCATGTACTGAGGTCGAGTAGCAAGAGGGTGGTTGTCAAAATGAGGAACGACGACTGGCCTCAAAACGTCCCGGATGTACTGAGCCTCTGTTAAAATGTATGGTGACCAAATCCAACCTGCAATCATGAGAGATACACCCCAAACCATTACCGAGCCCCCGCCGTATGCAACAGTCGGTTTAATGTTCCAGGGGGTGAAGGCCGTGTTCCGGTGCCTCCAAACTCTCGTTCTTTCTTCCATCAGTGACGTGGAGCAGAAAGCGACTTTCGTCTGACCAATGGACCCGTCTCCAAGTTCTCAGATTCCAGTTCTGTCGCGCAATACACCATGCTAAACGAGCAGCTTTGTTGTGATCTCTCAACAAGGGACGCTTTATGACTCTCCTAGCCCTCAGTCCTGCTGCTTTCAGCCGGTTCCTGACGGTTCTGGTGCTGAAACGACGATTGGGCAACCACAGCGGTTTCAGACGAGTACTTGTTAAAAAGGGTTCTCGGTGATTGAAACGAAGAAGGTCCCCGTCTTCGCGATGTGTCGTCTTAGGAGGTCTTTCGGATCTGGGACGGTCCTGTACATCACCAGTCTGAGCATGTTTCTCGACTAAACGGCTTACGACAGTGTGATAATACCCCAAATTCCGACCAATGGCGTTACAAGACATTCCTGCCTTATGCATGCCGATTATTTGCCATCTTGTGGCGTTTGATAATCGCCTTCGTGCCATGGTCACACAATGTCATGGAAAAACTGTTTAAAACCGAGCTTAAGAAAGTAATTTTAACGTTTGGATATACTGCTTTTAGAGATACCCGAGGGTAGCATGCTGTACGGCAATACCCTGCATGACACGTGAGCTTTCGTCATCTCGAGAAAACATAATTCTTCCCGTAATATCTTTCATGACTGTTACAAATATTGGGACCAAACAATAATTAAATATATTAGGGTGTGCTTAATTTTTTTCTTTGTGTATATATCCATTTCTTTATTATCAGGCTCAAACTACTCTTCCTATTCTATATCCGATTCTTGAGTATCAGGCTCAAACTACTCCCCCTGTTCAATATCAGATTCTTGAGGATCAGGCTCGAACTTCTCCCCGTATTCGGTATCCGATTCTTTAATTTCTCCCTAAAAACTACTCCCCCTTTCCTACATCCAATACTATATCCAATTATTTAGTACCAGGCTCAGATTTCTCCCACTACTTATATCCGATACTATACTAAGAGAGTAAGACTACTTCACCTATCCTATATCCTATTCCTCCAAACCAGGTTCAGATATCTCCCGCTATTTTACTTTAATTCCGGGGTATCAGGCTGAGACATCTCCCCGTATCTTACATCCTATTTTTAGGTATTAGGCTCATATTACTGACGCTATTCTGCACGTATGATTTTAGTAGGCTCAGATTACTCCCTACTTACATCCGATACTATGAAACTAAAACAGCTTCACTACCTTGCTTAGATTACTCCCTACTTAAATCCGATACTATGAAGCTAAAACAGCTTCACTACGTTGCTCAGATTACTCCCTACTTAAATCCGATACTATGAAGCTAAAACAACTTCACTACCTTGCTCAGATTACTCCCTGTACTTACATCCGATACTATGAAGCTAAAACAACTTCACTACCTTGCTGAGATTACTACCCCTGTCAGGTTTAGACAACTCATTTTCCCTGTATTTGATTCCTCAGCAGCAGCTTCAGCAACTTCCCCCTCCCATATATATGATATATGATTCTTGTTTTCCAGCTTGCACTTATTAGTGCGTCAGAGTAAGTTGAACCTGTTCTCATTTGTAGTTCCTTACATAATGCGAGACATTTCACTCCAATCCTTCAAATTTATCATATAAAATTTCATGCAAAAAATCTGGTAATTTCACAATATGTACAAAGTGGGGTGCAATCATCAAACATACTGTGCTGTATCATCGAAAATATATTATTTGTGTACGTCATTCAGAGACTGTTGCTAATTAGTGTCAAAACATTTGTATTCTTAAAGAAAATAGGGGAGTCATTTGAGCCTGGGTTGTCATCTGAGCCTACGACGGGGGAGTCGTTTGGGCCTAAGGTGAGTCATCTGAGCCAAGGTTCAATGACTCTAGAGTCGATGTAAATAGGTCTTCAACAACCCATGGTTGTCGTAAAAGGTGACAATGCTTGTCGTAAAAGGTGACTATGCTTGTCGTAAAAGGTGACTATGCTTGTCGTAAGATGCCACGAATGGGATCGGGTAGTCAGGCTCGCTGACTTGGTTTATGCATGTCATCGTATCGCATGAAGTCAATCACTGGATAGTCTGGTCCAAAACTCGATTATTTACAGACCTCCGTCATATAGCTGCGGCGTTAAACAATAAACAAACAAACAAACCAGTCGGGGATAGCTACATAAGTAGAGGCAGACTGTAGTGCGGGGACAGTGGGGGAAGTACAACCTTTCCACAAGGAGCCAGACCATGGACCATGATTATTTTTATGAAGCCGAGAACTGTCCCCCAAGTGGGTTGGTCGTTTGTCATGTGGATCCATGCTGTCGAGGTATTTGGAAAAGCAGAACTAAGTTCAATCAAGTATTTTCCTTACCCCGAACAAATCCCAAGCCCGTATTTCACACGGTCATACGCGGCCGTTAGTCAGAGACTGAAATATAATCTTCGTGCATCAGTTTTTACACAAGCAAAACATATCTGTTCAGCCTTGAAATCCTCAAAAGGACTAGTCCTCTGCTCACTAAGTAAAAATAGAGCCAGACCCAGATGACGTACAAATTATATTTATTGAATAAGTGATGTTCTTCGATCTTAGTATCGCATATCATTGGAAGACAACATGAAGAGAGGGGTGTTTTGAATGCCAAATTAAAACTGTCAGTACAGACAATTGCTTTGACACCAGGATAACCTATAACATACTTGTTGCTGTAATGTAGGCTGACGATAACACTCGTGCATTCAACTGGGGGCTTTGTCTGGGTATAGATGTCTGTCACGTATTTGCGATGTAACGTCGCAGTAGGGACGTAAAC